CTTGCTCTTTATGACTAAACCATGGGCAGTTTGAACAATATTAAGGAAGGACTTGATGTGATCCAGTTTGATCTGAAGATAATTTTGGCAGAAAGAGCGTGGCTTCTGCTTTCAGGAAGCTTGTATAATGCTGTGCTTATTTGCTCAGTCCTGTCCGACTCTTTGCATTCCCATGGACTATAGCCTGACAGACTCCTCTGTCCATGGGGTTCTTCAGGCAAAAATACTGGAGTGGATTGCCATGCCCTCCTTCAGGGGATCTTTTCAACCCAGGAATCAAACCAGGGTCTCCTGCATGGCAGGTGGATTCTTGACCAAATGTAATAGCAAGCCGATATTTAAAACTTTAAGTAAGCAAGTGAAGTCACTCAGTTGTGTCCAAGTCTTTGCAACCCCATGGGCTGTAGTCTGCCAGGCTCCTCCATCCATGGGATTCTCCAGGCAGGAATACTGGAGTGGGTTGCCATTTCCTTCTCCAGGGAAACTTCCCAACCCATTGATTGAACCTGGGTCTCCTGCTTTGCAGGCAGACTCTTTACCATCTGAGCCACCAGGGAATTAGTATTTAAAAGTTTAAATGCTAACTTTTTTTACTACCTTATGATATTTAATATTGATTAAGGTCTTGAAATGTGGCATATTTTTTTCTATGTCCTTTTGAATACATCATCTCATTTAATCCTCCCAAGAACTTTAGGAACAGTGTCTGTATACCTATTTATAGGCAAATAACCCAAACATTAGAGTCTGGGTAAACTGCCCAAGTTTATATAATGTATAATAGCCTGCTTTTAAACTCAGGCAGTTTGGTTCCAGAACACTAGTTTTAACCACCAGGGCAGTGATCTTTAATCCTGGCTGCAACTAGAATCACCAGGGGAAATTAAAAACAAAAACACACTGATGCCCAGAATTCTCATTTAAACTGATTTCTGTGGACAGAGGCTTAACATTACAGAGAGGGTTGTGACTGACTAAGCCAGACTATGTTGTCACCTTAACATACATGGAATAGTCACAAACATCTATAGGAAACATTTGTACTGTAAACATCTGTACCAAAATTGTAAGTTAAAAAAAAACAAACTGCTAAATAGCCAAATCACAGGATATGAAGACTTTTGATGCCTTTTCCAATTTTACTCTCACAAAGAAAAACTACGACCTTCATCTTTTTAAAGACTGACAGGCAGCGCAGAAGGAAAACCAAAGAGGGTAGGGGTAAAAAGGAAAAGGTGACAGAGTATCAAGAAAAGAAGGAAGAGAATAGCTGAAATTGGGGTTGTTGAAGTAATAAGACACCATCTACCGATGAGCAGTCGGTAATATCAAAGGCGTATTTGTGGAATGTTTCCTTTCGGTAATTGTACAAAGACTCCCTTGCCATTGCAAAGCACTTTTCTTCTTGGCAGATTGAAGAATGTTTTACCAACTAAATGCATCCCAGTAATATTCAGAGCTTAGGACCAACATAATCATAAGTTGCCTTGTTATTGCGGAGGTAAGCAGCCCCATTTAATAACATATAAAATGTATTATTCATTTATGTAACTCAGACCCAGGGACAGCTGCTGGGATGAAAATAGAACCATTCTGTAATGCACAAAGCAGGTGTGTGCTTACTTGAGTAAATGAACTCTATTTCTGCTCAATTTTCTTGTAACTTTCAGAGACCGGTCTGGTAGGGCTAATGTGAAGCCATTTTCATCCAGGAAATAAAATGGTCTCAGAATGGTTTTTAATGAGCATTGAAAAAATTACCAATGGTCTTTCTGTGGCAGAATCCCAGGGGAATGGATTCATGCTTTGTATTTAAGCAGAACTCCTGTTGCTACAGGCTTCAGGAAAGCCCAGGGTGGTGATTGGTCAGAACAGTGACGCACAAAAGGAATGTTCTCTAGCTGATGATGCTGGCGGTGATGGTGAGCCCATACTGCCAGAGCTGCTCGCCAAGATAGAGTCACAGGTGTGCTTGGACGCTAAGTGATTAAAGTTATAACCTGCCTTTAATGTGCGTTGTGCCTGGCTTCTGAAACACGCAGGGAGTTTGTAATGCAGTTTAACTCACTGGGATGCCGTAATTACTGTATGACACTGCTGGTCACTTCTCTGCTACCATTGCTGGTACCAGAATGTCACCATTCTCCAGTGTCCGCATCTTTTTTTTTTTTCCCCAGCTGCCCTTATTTTCTTTCAAATCAGCCTACAGTCATAAGCACCTACATGGACTTTTCAAAATATTTAATATCAGATAGGATGATCTGAAGATGTTCAGACATGGCAGTGACCAGTCAGAATGAGTAGGGATCTCAGTACAGGAGCAGGATTTAGGAAGCTCCCTGGTGTATTGGGTGTTAACCCATTCACTTCCAGATTGCCAGGAAAAGCAAGGACTCCACGGATAGGGGTTAACATAGCAGGACTGGTGGGTGTGGTGCCTACAGGGTTTGGGGCCAGTGATGATAGCCAGTTTCTTGACAGATATTTCAACATTCAAACTCTATACAGTCATCCCAGTGTGGACCTAGTGAGTATCAGCCTTGCATGTCTGGGGCACAAGTATGCCCTCAATGAGGAGCTTAAAGTTCACAGTCACACAAAGGAAGAAAATCATACAAGGCATTGCTGATTCCTATAAGTAAATCATAAGGATTCCTGTAAGAGATGACACATGTCTCACCTAATTTAAAGAGGTAGTGAAGTACAGTGGTAACAAATACATGTATCCTAGATCCAAATTGTCTAGGTGCTGGCTGTGTGATCTTGAGAAAACTAGTTTAAGTTCTACGAATCTTAATTTCTTCATCTGTTTATTGGGAGTAGTGATACCTTCTTTATTAGGGATAGTTTGAAAGCAAATCATGTTGAGAAATTAGCATAGTGTCTAGAACATATTAGTGAAAGAGTTAACCGTTCCGTCGTGTCCAACTCTTTGCAATCCTTGGACTGTAGCCCACCAGGTTCCTCTGTCCATGGATTTCTCCAGGCACGAATATGGAGTCGGTAGCCATTCCTTTATCTAGGGGATCTTCCCAACCCAGGGAATGAACCTGGGTCTCCCGCATTACAGGCAGATTCTTTACTATCTGACCACCAGGAAAGCCCTGAACATATTAGTACTGTCTACATTTGAACTTCTTATGATTTTACTTTCACAATCAGGAAAAGAGAGGAGATAAGCTGCCACTTAAAGTGTGGATAAGTTTTAGGCAGCTGATTAGGCAAAAAGCTGGACATGGAAGCAGAAAGAACAGAAGAAAAGAAGTACTTTCAAGAGGATTGAAAAGAGAAGTTTGGCTAAAGCAGAAGGAGCTGGTTGGGGAGAAAGAGTCCAGAAAAGTAGAACAAAGTTAGTTTATGGAGGGCTTCAGGCCCAAGTTAGAGGATTGTGATTTATTCTAAGGAAATGGGAATTTGTGAATGTTGTGAACAGGGAGGATAGATAATAATGTTAAGTAAAATAACTGATAACTTTTCATAATCACTTGCTAATTGTCAGGGTGGTTTTAAGTGTTCTGTGTACATTAATCCATTTCATCCTTATGGTTACCCTATGAGGTGAGTTTAATATTAATACTTGGCCTTACAGTCATCTATAGTGTTCAAAGTGCTTTCCCAGATGGTATTTAATTTTATTTTCTCAATCATGCTTTTAGGTGGTCAGTCTTGAAACTTAAGGACAGAGAAAGGACTTTGGCTAGATTTGAAATGGCTGGTAAGCAACAGCCTGCACACTGCCAGATTTTGTAAATAAAGTTTTATTAGAACCCAGATTCATTTGTTCTTTTATGCATTCTCTATGTACACTTTAATGTTACAACCCGAGAGTTGAGTACTTGTGACTAAAGCTATATAACCTGCAAAGCTAAAACATTTATTCCCTGGCACTTTATGTGAAAAGTTTGTCAACTTATGGTCTAGAAGAATGGAAAGACCTTGGACTTTTGATTGCTTCCATTTTGAGATCTACCAGTACCTTCCTCAGGTAGATTGGAGAAACCAAATATATGAATACATAATGTGGCTGCTGTGGACTCCACACAAAAAAAGATGATGAAGACATAACATTGGACCTCAAAAGTCTTAAAGAAAACCCACAGATCCTAATTTACTATAAACCTGATAAATTGCATAGGACAAATTGGTAGCATATTTTTTTTTTCCTATTAAGTCTAAAACAAGAAAAAAGCAAAACAGAGGGAGGATTTACTCAATCTATAGTCTGCAGTTTCCTTAATGTGAAATTTCAAGAGCTTAGGCATTACATCGCATGAAGTATTGAGTAGAAACTCTCAAGTTTAGCCACATTTCTGTTCTGTACCACGAGAGCCACAGCTTGTACAGTATCTAATGTTGAGACATATAATGCATAATAATCTATTCTTTCTTTGAACTGTCCCTTCCTTTGCAATATATACATGTATATATTACAACATATATAGTACTCATTCTGACCTTTAATTATATAGCCTTTGAAGTATTTTCTGGACTATCCATGTATAGATGGTAAAAAATCTACCTGCAATGCAGGTGGATTGGGACGATCCCCTGGAGGAGGGCATGGCAACCCACTCCAGTGCTCTTGCCTGGAGAATTCCCATGGACAGAGGAGCCTGGTGGGCTACAGCCCATGGGGTTGCAAAGAGTTGGACACGACTGAGCAACCAAGCTCACATCTTTTCACCTGAATTATAAACCTATTGTGGGTAAGGAAAGACCACGTCTTCTCCTGCTATGCATTTCCGACAACTCCAAAGTGAAATTGTTTATCTATCCACTAAGTGAATGAAAGCATAAATTAAAATGGTAATAATGATGCATTATGTTCCTATGATGATTTGCCTCTCTGTTGGGTGCTTACTATAAACAAACTGTGATCTTCCTGACACCATGAAAGGTAGTTATTGCTAGCCCTCAGGGCTAGGCAGAAGGTTTGAAAAGTTGGGAGTGATCCAAATTATCATGAGCTGAATTACAGTTTGAGCTTTTTCCCCATATAGGTATAGAAAGGTGGTTTCCAATAACTGCACTGATGGAGTGAGAGAACAGTACACAGCCAAGCCACAGAAGTGCCCAGGGAAGGCCCCCCGGGGGCTCCGGATCGTCACCGCTGATGGAAAGCTGACGGCAGAACAAGGGCACAACGTTACTCTCATGGTGCAGCTGGAAGAGGTAGGACCAGGTCCTGCCTCCCCTCTACCTTCTAGAGCCAGTGACGTTTGCTAAGAAATCATGATTTGGTTTACATGTCTTTTTGTCTTTGTTTACATGTCTTTTTGTCTTTGTTTACATGTCTTTTTGTCTTTGTTTGCATAGATATATTTTTTAATTTTAAATTTTATTTAAAATTTGTATTCTCCTTTTAGTTCCTTGGTATTTGTTATTATAAGTTTGCCTTCTCTGACACAGTTCTTCAATTACTTTTATTTCACTGCAAGTTGTTCTTCATTCTTATTGAACCTGTAACTTCTTAGGAATTCTGTCTGGATTTAATCCTCTATTATTGGCAATTTAAACAAATACAAATTTGTTTTCGCAAATACATTAATAGTATTCCTAGAACAGCTTAACACATATACATACTGAACTAACCTAAAAACTGCTAATGCTGTCTTCCTCCTTTAATCTGAGGTCATGGCTTTTCTTTCTAAAGACAGCATAACCAGTCATACATATAGATAGCATCAAGACCAATCTAAACTAATTGAATATAATTTCACTGATATTTGAGAGGTTTATTGTTTTAATATTAATAGTGCCTCAGGGATATTATTATAAACATCAATTATTATTTGCCAGACTATAGTTATCTGAAGTTTGAGCAATTAGATGGTAGAATAAGATGACATTTATATTACATATTTGAGAATGTTCTGTTTACGGCATGTTTGTCATCTTGTAAATGAGGAAAATGCCCTCTAAAGGATGAACATTTTCATTAAATGATCTTGATTACTAAACCAAGCTGTTGTACTTCAACCATGTTTTCTGTGTACCTAAAATATGGCGAACACTGCTTTCAGCCATGGGATCGCAAAGGGATCTGAAAAGTTCACAATGACACCAGGATGAAGATATACCACATTGTCTTCTCCCCTTCTTTTCTGATAGTTCAGTGACTCTCCATCTCTAACGTACATAAAAATTACCCGCTGAGCATGTTAAAACAGTTTTCTGGGCTGCATCTTCCAAGAGTCTCATACAGGAAGTTGAGGTAAGACCCAAGAGTATCCTTTTCTAACAGGGTCATAGGTTATGCATTACGCTTCAAGAAGAAAGAAAGAAAGAAACAAGGGCAACATCAAGAGGGACAGGCCAGTCCGAGAGGCTCTAGAGGGTGACCTAAAGGGGAAAAGATGCAGTTAGGATTACATTGTTAGGTTTGCTCAAAATACTTGGTATTTTAATTTCCATAGAAAAACCTGTGATCTAATGAGTTGGAATTCCTGGCTCCAGTGATGCTGTTGCTTTCAGTCCAGCAACCACTTAGACAAGCACTGCTCTAACCTAATACTCCTTTTTCCTGTCTCCTTAGTAAGTGCCTTTTAACCATACCCACTATTCTAAACACTAAGTTTCCCCAATGTTCTTCAGTTGGAACTAGAAAGAGATGGGCCAATTTAGGCTAGTTGGAGTCACTTGCATTTCACAGAAATAAATCTTGGAGGAACATCTGCCTGAGGCTATGACAGACTAGCTTGCTGGAAACCACATAAATATGTATTATGTAGAGCAAGAGTTAGAGAGAGTGGGAAAGCAAGAAACACACACACAGAAAAGGAGGAGGAGGACTTAGGAAATTTCAGTTCTTTTCTTGAGAGATAGGAAGCTCCTTATGATAACTTATGCTGTATTTCATGTTGTATTTCCCCTCAAGAACTTTGCCAGTTCATCTATCACACTGTATAAGATTTCAGATTCCCAGTAGAAGGTCAGACAGAAAGTGTTGGCTAAACATCTGTTGGTGAACTCGAGGTTGGGAAGATAAAGATTGGACTTCAGAGTTACCAAGTCAGCTGGGACTGATGATGTTAAATCCTAGAGAGGAGAGAAACATAGAGAAGTTGTATAATATTCTGTGTCGTTTGTTTCCTTGGGGGATTCCATGGTGGCTTAATTGGTACAGAATCTGCCTGCATGCATGCCCAGGTTCAATCCCTGGGTTGGGAAGATCCCCTGGAGAAGGGAATGGCTACCCCCTCCAGTATTCTTGCCTGGAGAATTCCATGGACAGAGGAGCCTGGCAGACTACAGTCCATATGGTTGCAAAGAGTTGGACACAACTGAACCACTACCACTTTTCACTTTCACTTTTGTTTCCTTGAGTTATTTGACAGTACCTGAGGGATGCAGATAAAACAGCAAGTAATCACTTAGGATATGAAGTCAAACAGGTTTTAGAAGTATTACATTTTTTTTCCATTTATTTTTATTAGTTGGAGGCTAATTACTTTACATCATTGCAGTGGTTTTTGTCATACATTGAAATGAATTAGCCATGGATTTACATGTATTCCCCATCCCGGTCCCCCCTCCCACCTCCCTCTCCACCTGATCCCTCTGGGTCTTCCCAGTGCACCAGGTCTGAGCACTTGTCTCATGCATCCAACCTGGGCTGGTGATCTGTTTCACCCTCGATAATATACATGCTTCGATGCTGTTCTCTTGAAACATCCCAAAGTAAGCCAGAAAGATAAAGACCATTACAGTATACTAACACATATATATGGAATTTAGAAAGATGGTAACGATAACCCTATATGCAAAACAGAAAAAGAGATTCAGATGTATAGAACAGACTTGTGGACTCTGGGAGAAGGAGAAGTATTACATTTTGAGGAGAAAGAAAAAAATTGAATTTAGAGTCTATCAAGGGGAAAGCCCTGGTGAATGATACAAGACTAGATCCTGTAAAGCTCTATGCTAGGAGTAAGGACAAAATGAAATTAGACCAGACTCTCTACATGCTAAAATCCCACCTGAAATTATTTCAGCCTAATCATTATTAGAATGATTTCCCCCCATTTTAAATGTCTGTCAGAAACTGTAACAAATCCTCTTTAGAGGAAAATAGCATATACCAACAGCCTTACTACTTTCTTTTTTCATTTAAAATTTAGGGTATTTAAATAACTACAGATATATCAAGAATCAGGACCAAGAACGGAAAAAAAAGCAACAGAAAAAAAAGCATATTTCCTGAGATACGATTAATATGTTTATGAATATGGGACAAGATATAAAACTTAATCCCACAGCAGTCATCAGTAGGTGGCAGTATTCAAATGGAAGTCATAGAACTGCAGGTATAGGTACTGATATTAAGAATTTAGAGGAGTTTGTAGTAGACTGAACCGAGATGAGTGAAGGATCCGTTTATTAGAAGCAATGACAGTAGGGAATATAGCATTTGGAACATAAGAGGAAAAGAGTAGAAAATAGGGAAAAGAATAATGAGAACAAAGGAAATGGTGGAAAGAGTGAACACAGTCATCCTGAAGGAGAGGAACTGTTAAGGAGCCAGAATTATTTTTGGAGAGATAATGTCAGAGAATTTTCCAAAAATTGGCATGAGATATCAGCATATCAACACAGAGATTCAAGAGAATCTGTAGACTCAAAGCAGGGTATGCACAGAGGGAAACCACTTTTAGATATTGTATTCAATCTACTGACATCATCTAAAAACAAGAGAAAATTTTAAAGCAGTGCAGACAAAAATGGAATGACATGTTTGAAGTGCTGGGGAAAAAATAGTGAAGCTAAAGCAAAAACATTTTTCAGACAAGCAAAAATTGGAATGAGTCATATAAGCTGATTTCTGTGAAAAGAAACACTAAAGGTAATTGTTCGGGCGTAAAGAAAATGACCCCAGGCAAAAGCACAGAAATAACGGAAAGAATGAAGAATAAGAAAGAAGGTGGATATGCTGGTGAACTGAAGTTAATAGCAATTTTGTAGACCAATCATGCTAATCAGTTGTAGAACTTAAAACACATGCAGAATTAAAATACATGACAACAATAATATAGTATGTGAAAAGAATTAAATGGAATTAAATTGGTTTAAGCTCCATGAAATGTCTGTGAAGAAGTATTGATAAAAATACTCTTTTATATTAGAACCAGCATGTTCAGAATGTGTGCTTTAATATCTAGTCACAAGTAAAAAACAGTAAGGTAATGCTGAACTATCAAACTACTGGTAGGAGAACTAGATGAATATTAAGTGCCTCATTAATCAAAATAAAGTAAAAAAGAGAGAAGAGGAGACATACTATCGAGACAAATTGAGCAGATATGAAAATGGTATATGCAAACACAGATATTTCAGTAGTTATATAAAATAAATAGTTATTTTTGTGGCTTGCTTAAGAAATGTATCTAGCCCAAGATTGTGAAGATATCATACCACACGTTTTTTTCTTTAGCTTTCACATTTAAGCCTAAGGTCCATTTTGAAGAAAATTGTTTCAGGCAAGGGCCAAAGTTTATATATTTTTTCCATATATGTAGCCAGTTGACCCATCACCATCGAAAGACAAATATTTTCACATTGAATTTCTATATGGTCAATTGATTTATGACATAATAGTATACATATATATGTGCACATATGTATGTGCTTTATGTCACATGAGACTGAAGTACAGTAGATAAAGTATTATCTTTTCAGTAAATGGTGCTGCAGTATTGGATATGAGGAAACACATGAGTCTTGACCTCTCAAAACACACCAAAATAATCTTAACTGGACTGTCAGTCTAATTTTGAAAGAGAAAACTAAAGTGCTTAAAGGAAAACACACAAGGGTATCTTCATGACCTTGGATTAGGGAAATATTTTTTAAACAGGAAAAAAACCTTATAAATAAAAATATGATTTAATAAGATTACATTAAAATTGAGAATTTCTTTTCTTCAAAAGACATTATTTTTAAAAACCATAAAGGTGAAATCTAGAGGGGAAGAAGTTATTTTCAGTACACACTTTCAATAAGGGACTCATACCCAAAAAATATAAATAAATCCTACAAATCAATAAGAAAAATTCCATCAACCTAGTAGAAAATGTACAGATGAGTTAGAAATCTCAGAGAAGGTAACCACATCGCCAATAAGCATATGAAAAAATTACCAACACCACCGCTTATCCAGAGAATGCAACTTAGAA